TAGGGTCCGCACGCTTAACGTTCAATGACGATTGGTATGAGTTTATGTGGTTTGATGTACCGAAGGTTGTTCAGAGTCCCGGATATGATCGCGGACATGACGAGGAGTCTCGAAATGGTCGAGACGTAAAGATCGATATATTGGAAGGCTATGTTTGGACATCGGAATGGTTCCGGGTGAGTTCGGGCATTTACTGGAGTACCGGGGGGTTACCGGAACCCCTCGGGGAGTCAGTGGGCCTTATTGGGCCTTAGTGGGAGAGAGGAGGAGGCGGCCAGGTGGAGCCCCCCCCCCAAGCCCAATCCGAATTGGGTGGGGGGCGCCCCCCCCCCCCTTCCTTCCCTCTCTCTCCCCCTTCCTTCTTCTCCTACTCCTACTCCCATCAGGAGTAGGACTCCCCCCTTGGGCGCGCCATGAGAGGGTCGGCCCTCCCCCTCTTCCACTCCTTTATATACGGGGGAGGGGGCACCCCATAGACACACAAGTTGATTGTTTAGCCGTGTGCGGTGCCCCCCTCCATAGATTTCCACCTCAGTCATATCGTTGCAGTGCTTAGGCGAAGCCCTGCGCCGGTAGCTTCATCATCACCGTCACCACGCCGTCGTGCTGACGAAACTCTCCCTCGACCTCAGCTGGATCTAGAGTTCATGAGACTTCACCGAGCTGAACGTGTGCAGATCACGTAGGTGCCTTATCTTCGGTGCTAGGATCGGTCGGATCGTGAAGACGTATGACTACATCAATCGTGTTGTCATAACGCTTCCGCTTACGGTCTACGAGGGTACGTGGACAACACTCTCCCCTCTCGTTGCTATGCATCACCTAGATGGATCTTGCATGTGCGTAGGAATTTTTTTGATATTACTGCGTTCCCTAACACAAGATGCATCTTACATTTACAAGGATATGTGATTGTATCGTTCTTAACTTTCTGTAAAATGCTTATTCAACATTAGCGTGAACAATTCATAAATATTGCCGAAGTACATTCGGTACACAGACACAAGGGACAAGAACTTTGCTAGTTTAACCACATTGGAAAAAAATCACACAACACAACCATTTCACATTAAACACTGCTCTGTCCATTCAGAACATCCTTGCTATTGCACACAGGTTCCTCTCCGTAGACCAGTTCTGCAGGATGCCACAAAACTACACTACACTATATGCAACTGACCTATGTACAACCGTGGCTCTCTAAGTGTCTATTCGAACCCATGCCTGTGGTGCCACACGCCCGTGACCCTAGAGACTTCACACCTGTGCATCCACAACAAAGCCTCTCTAACCAAGTATTTGGACCAATGCCTCTGCTGCCATACTTCCGTGCCTCTAGAAACTTGACAGCAGCAAGAGGATTCATACCCGTACCTCCACACAACTGTGCCTGTACTGACTTCACTTCCGTGCCTCCATTTGCTCAATCCACGTGCCTCACATAAAACCCACATTAACTCTACATGCTCCGCACGCGTAATCGCTCGTGCAACTTTGGTGCTGCACACATGTTCCTCTCAGTACAACCCTATGCTGTCGGATGCACCAACCTATACATGTGCCTCCTCCCTATAGAGGCTTCACTCACATGTCTCTCGTGCCCACACACCTGTGCCTCACGTAACACGCGTCGTGACTCTACAAGCTATTTCACGCGTGATCGTCCGTGCCTCGTTGCTGCTGCACAGACGTTCCTGTCTCTACAACCCATGTCAGAGGAAACAACATACGTGCCTCTAATGTATGTATAACTATGCCTCCCATTAACTAACATCGGTCTAAAAAACATCTTTAAAACAGATGCACAGCCATGCCTCTTCTACAAATGAAGAACATCAATGAACAGTTAGGTTCATATCGTTTCATATATCTAAATAACATTACACTATAGCATGGAATTTTAAACAAAATTCATTATGTTCAAAGGCTATAACTAACATCACTGCGGCAGAAGATTGAAGATAACAACAAGCCTCCCATCACGCACTTTGAAAGTTATGAGCACCAAGCTGTTTACTTCAATAGACGATGCCCGAAGAAAATCACTGAACCCTTCCTCTTTGAACACCAATCTATTACCCAAGCCAATGAAGTAGGAGAAAGAGTGCTCACATATATATCATCATCATCACAAGTTTCCAAAGTAACTTCAAGAGTTAAAACTCCAATCCTAGGAATTGACACGGACTCCTTCAAACTCCTCGCAACAATACCAGTAATAACATGACAAAAACATCAAGCTATTAGAAATGGAACAAAAATTAAAAACTATAAAATAGGGAAATACTAATAAATAAATAAACAGAAACAAAGAAAAACAGTGGAAAATAAATCTGACCATATGATGACCATTAACATTCATGGAATCAATCCTGTGAACAAAAGGACAACAGGGTATGTACTCATCATCAAAGAGTTGACACGTCGTGAAATACATCTGCTGATAATTAAGAAAAAGACCATGGATGTAATAACAACTCACAACAAGTTCCTTCTTGGAGTCGCTCAAACCATCAAGAGCTACAAAATATAATTACACAAGTTCAAGGGAACAGAAAAATCATCATGTAAAATAAAACAAGCTAAAAACTTCCTTAAAAATAAACCTTACCAACAGAAGGTAAAGGAGACAACATAACTCCACCCCGATAAAAGTCAACACCAATCAACATTCCATAGCGTCCAAGCCTAATGGTCATTCTATCACGATCACGAAGACCATAATCAATGACCAAATCTTCCCAGAAAGGACTATGGAATTTGCTCCTCACCCGACCATGACTAAAGGGAACACAATACAAATAACCCTCACTAGAGTGAAGAGCAAGATCAGTATGTCTGTCACCCCTCCTTATGGCTAAAGCTTTACACTCCTCGATGTAACGAGCAAGATGAGCTCTAACATTGCACGGAACATACTGCAAAACCAATGATCACAATCAAAAAAAGAAGACCTAGAATAATTTCCATTCAAAACGGCAACAGCAGAACCAAAAGAAATAAGTATGTGTGCCAAAAAATGAGCAAATATAAAATGTTATTCTTACAACACGAGTCGAACAACGTCGATCCAGAACCACAGTGAACACGTCTACAGAAGAATCAACAGACAGACACGGGCCACCCACCATACCGCAAAAAGGACAAGCCATACCTGCAAAGAACACAATGATTATCAAGAACTAATTCCACAAACCGATTGGAAACTTGACATCTGATAGTATTGAAAGCCCCCACCCGTAACTACCCCATAAATCTCCATATCCTGGAAATATAATGGGAACAAAAAGAGAAACAAAAGGAAACAGGGAACCCACGAATGCAACCGGTAGGAAATGACGATCTCGCGGACGGGGAAGCGCGGTCGACGCTAAAAAAAGGAGCCGTAAGCAGGCGACAAGCACGGCGGGCACGACGGGGGCCGCCGTAAGCAGGCGACAAGAGCGGTGGCCGCGACGGGCGGCGACGACGGCAACGAAAGAACAGCCGCGGCGACGGTTTGACCACACCAGACAGAAACAGATCTCAAAACAGATCAAAAGTGTATTACAAAACATTAAAAGTACAAGGACTAAAGTGAAAAAGGGAAAAACTAGAAATGAAAACCAGAAACCGGAAATCACGGGAGAGGTCGTCAGCGCGCCAAGTGTCGCGCGCGGAGCGCCCCAGAAAAGTCTCACGAGCGCTCCGCGCGTGACACTTGACGCACGGGGAGCGCTCCCCGACTAATCGTTGCGGGGAGCGCTCCACAACTAGTGATTTCGCCCTATATGCATCTATATTTTTCATTTTTCCCCCTTGGACAAAAAAACTCAAAGGAGGCCTAGCTAGGTCCATGAACTGCGCGGCCCACGCGGAACGTACATAGAAAATACCAGCTAGGCCCATGAACTGCATGTGGCCCACGCGGAACGTACATACAAAATTCTGTGATGAACGCTTTTTATTGCAGGTTTATACTAAAACAGTCAAGGATTTGTTCGTAAAATATCATGACGGGCCAAGAATACCTATTTTCCCTTTAATAGTATTTAATAAGTAATAGTATGTATAGATACACAGTTAACATTTTAAAAATAAATTGTTAAAAAATTCAAATATATGTGTTTGAAGTCTAGTCTTTTCATACATGTTGTACAATCTTCTGTATATCTTAGGAACATTTTTGTACACATGTTTAATTTTTTTTAAATACATGAGTGACTCTTTCAAATAAATGTTTTTGAACTTTTTTTAATCTGCATTAAACATTTTTTTCAATATGTGTCAACTCCAACCACCAGGCCATCACCCCGCCGGTGTACGGGTGCTTTATTTTCTCTTTTAGTTTGTTCTTCAGTTCAGTTTATTCTTTATCATTTTTCTTTTTCTTTTTTTCTCATCCTTTTCCAGGTTTTTTAAAAATGCGTGAACCTTTTAAAATAGATGAAATTATTTCAAATTGGTTAACTTTTTCCGAAATCAATCAACTTCTTTAGCATTTTTGGTGAACTTTTTTTAGAAATCGATGAACTATATTTTTAATCTGATGAACTATTTTCAATTCGATGAACTCTTTTTCAGATCCAATGAACTCTTTTTCAAATCCGATGAACTTTAAAAAATGATGAACCTTTTTCCAAATATTTAATAAATCTATGAACTTATTTATGAACATATTCAAAATTCTAAAAAAACAGAGGCCGGTCTTTTTCCTGAACCAGCAACGCAGCACAACCGAAAAAAAAATAGCCAGCGAGGCGAGCGAAAGTGAACGAAGGGATCGATTGTTTTAATGGGCTACGGCCCGCTGCTGGTCGCTGTAGGCGCCACTTCTCCCCGGCGCCACTTCGGCTCCATGCTGGGCCGCTGTTCTCGATCTACTGGGCCGGGCTGAGCCTGAGAGAAAGTATATAACACGCACTCGCCGTCCGAACCGTATCCAAACACCGTATCTAGAAAACCCTTGCTGTTACCTTTGCCTTCCCCTTCCCCTCCTAAAAAGGAGGACGGGCGGCGAGATGGCGACGGCAGGGAATTCGAAGGCACCGAGTGGCGAGAATCCGTCCTTAGGCGGGGAGCTCTATCAGGCTGCAATCTCTCTGCATAAGAGTATCAGCCGGATCGGGGCCAAGGGGGACATGATGTTCGAGATTGGTCGTCTTGACGCCGCGCATCGCGTAACTCTGTTTGAGTTGAGATCGGAGATGTTCGAGCTGTCGGAAAAGATCAGGCGCGTGATGCCCGACGCCTTTCGTATTGAAGCTAAAGGTGAGATGGACACTGGTGGGAGGTCGTCGAAGGGAAGTAATGCTGCGGATCTCGAGGAACTTCGTCATGCGGCATCACTGATGCGGACAACCGAAGAAGCAGAAAGAAAGGAGCTGCTCGATCTGTTAGCAAAGGAGACCAAGGGGTTGTTCGCTGGCAAGGCAGGCAATCTACCCGAATCGATTGGGGAGATCCTGCTGAAATTCAGAAGTTTTGTCGGTGACATCAATTCAGTATTTGAAGCCGAACAGACCCGCAAGGAGGCAGCGGCAGTGCTAACCTTGGGCTTCAGGCTACAGTTCTTCTCCAAGGAGATCCATGAATTGTGGCAACAGATGTGCAAATTGCAGAGCTTGTTCTCGCCAGAGAACAAAGATGTCATGAGAACAATGATCGTTTTGAAGAATGAGTACCTGCCCCGTATCTGCAAGTTGCAGTGGATTGCTAAACGTATCAGCATGCTGCAGCAGGTGGACCTGGATTTTGATTCCAAGGTGAAATTGATGATGATACAGTTGAAATCTGAATCTTTCTTATCAGCTATGGAGGAGGTGGAGAGGGAACACATATGCAAATCTTCCATGGAGGAGGAGGAGAGGAGGTTTGCTGCCTACCGTATGAACTGGGACCGTATATGGGGGCACCACAAGAACTTCGAAAACCAGAGTGAGTAAACACGCATCGAGCTAGTTATCTGATCATTGTTAGGTTTCTTGCTCACCTGCTGCGTGTTCTTATTAAATGTATCATATAAGTAATCTGGCCTCTACAGCATGATAGGTCTCTAACTCAATACTTAACTGCTGCTTTATTCTTCTTGATGAATGGATCATATAAGTACTCTGCCACTATAGTTACTTAATGATAGGTCTTTGACTCATGCTTAACTTGCATCCAGCGCTTTTGAGCCCCATGCTCTATACACATTGCACACCGCGCCGCATCCCAATTGAAGCTGTAGCCGGGAGTACCTTGCAGATCTATTCCATTAAAATCTCGCAACAAAAAATCTCACATTGCCAGTGGAGGTGTATGGAGTGGTAGCAGCCCGAGATACTGCGGACCGTCATCGCAACCCTATATTCCTTCACAGAAGTAACTACTGCCAAAAACTGGAAGAAAATGTATGTGTGGTATTTTCTTATTATTCTTTGTTTGTTTCCTGCATTCATGTTGTTGATTAGTTAATAGCAATGATGATGCTCGCAGGATTCCTTTTTGTGCCTGGATGGCCCGGTTCGTGCGATTGTGTCCATGGGCACTGTGTACTTTGAAATTCAACTAAAAGTAAAGGGTGCATCAGAATCTGAAGATAAAGCATTGATCAGTACTTATTTCTTCTACAATGGTGACAGTTCCGGCGGGCATGTGGCTAAGAACGACTTCTGCACAGTGGAGTTTTGCTGGGAGCAACTTCGGCAGTCAGTGCAGGCTACTATCCTGAGTGTGCTTGTTACATCTGTAGATGGAAAATTGCCTTTTCCGCATGGTGGCAGAGTTGTTTGCTCTTCACAACCTCAGGATGGTAATGAAGATATTGCTGGGCTCTCATCCAGGCAAGTTGTGTTGGTTGATTCAGAAGGTGGAAGAATGCCAATTGCTGAACATGGCTATCTTGAGCTGTCAAGAGAAGTAGTTTCTGTGGAATTGAATGGAAAGTTAAAAGTCCTTATAGAGGCCTATTCGACAACACAATCTGCTGAGAGTGCTCAAGTCATCTTAATCACACCAAAAAAATCCAACATAACTAAAGTTGCATGTAGCCTATATGCTGGTGGCCCTAAGGTGGAGATTACTGTTGCTTGGTCCCTCATTCCGTCGAAGATGCTTAGTTGATGAATGATGATGGGAGGCTGGACTTGTTGAAAAGATGGTGATATGTGAAAGTTATGGTCATACGGCTGCCTTTCCTGTAGTTATGGTCGGACTATGTGAACATTTTTAACTGTATTGTCAAGCTATGTGAAAGTTATGTGAACCTGTATTAAGTGGGATGTATTAAGCTATGTTATGCTTGACAATCGATCATGTTACTTTCTGAACAATTGTTTATCAATCAAAATCAGATTGGTATCTCCTGTGAGCTACAGCTACGGTCTGATCATGTTACATCTGTATTGTCCCTGCTTGCGACCAAATATTTCAGTAGATTAGATTGTTTAGAACAGCTATAGTAAGAGATCAATCAAGGCATTTAGTAGAACTATGCAAATCTTGCCCGCAAAAAAAAAAACTATGCAAATCTGATCTACAATGTAGTACTCCCTCCGTCCGGAAAAGGACGGCGCAGCGTGAATTTTGCAAATAAATAAATAAATAAAACTGTCTTTTCCCGACATAACCTGCAGTACCGTCCCCTTTCCCCCTCCCTGACCATGCCATGCAACTCCCGCGCGCACTTCCCTCCTCTTTTCCGCCGCGCCTCAGCTCCCTTGAGAAGCTCAAGGAACGACTTTTTCCCTTCCTTGAGTCCCTCGTCGTCGCCATGGCGTGCTCATCCTTCTTTCTCCATGGCGAGTTCCTGCCTGCTGCCTCCTTCCTTTCTGCCATCGAGCAGGCCATGGTGAGCTTGCTCGTCAATGTTGGACCTTGTTGAGTGTCGACCCCGCGCCGGGGCCGTCCCAACTGACCTTGGTGGGTGCACTGCAGTTCAGGGTTAAGAAAACTTCACTGCACTTGCCAACAGTTCAGGGTTCAGAAAACTTCAGACGTAGCCCGAATCAGGAAATTTGACAAACACAAATCTGAAATGATTCTGGAGGCACTTTCTTCTTTCTTCTTTCTAATGGTTATTCCTGTAGCAATTTGCTCTATATTTACTAAAAATAAACTTGATCTACTAAAAATAAACTTGGCCATTGTTTACTGAAAATAAACTTGATCTTCAGAGTACTGTGTTTCAATTACAGAGCAAGCAAGGTACACATTTCTTCAGTTTAGCATATTCAGTTAACACTAGGTCAATATTCAGGACTATTCAGTAACATGAGTACTCCAAAAACTGATTGCTTTTCATGAAACACTCACTTTCTTGAAACAGAGGAAACTGCTTTTCATCAGTAAACATATGCTGCTAATGGAAACTTTCAGTAGCTTGTTGACTATGGCTCTAACTGTCATCTCAAAAGAAAGGTACACTTGGCTATGGCTCTAACTGAATTTTCAAAAGAATGATGGTAATTTCTGATTCTATACATGACAGGCAAAACTAATTCTCAGGTTATAATATCTTCATTAGCAGGATGACAAGAAATTTGGTACTCCATTCTCAGTAACAGTTCTACTGAATGTACAATGATCATCACAGGCAGCAACATTTCTACAACAGCAGTTATACTGAATTTACAACGATCATCATCATGACTGGCAGCATGACATATTGTTCTGAAAATTTCTGTAACCTAGACAACTATATATACAATCTGGACCCAAGTACTACTGAATTCAATTTTTCATGCACCCAAATAACTTTCAGCATGCACCCAAGTTTCAAAAATAATGTTGGCATTTACATAGGGACCATTACAATCTGAAAAATCATGCATGCAAAATCTAACCATTTATAACTGAAGCCAAGTTTCAGAAATAAGCACTACTAATTTGTTGGTTTAAAATCTGTTAGAAAAGTCACAGGTGCTTGAATATTACAGCTTATACTCATATGGTGCAGCTAGAAACCACTACATGTTTATCTTGTTTGTTGTTACTCCTGAAACTGAAACTGGAAACTGTGACTGAAGCTAGAAACCACTACATGTTTATCTTGTTTGTTGTTACTGAGACTGGAAACCGAAACTACTCCAGAGATGCAATTTGACTTGTTTCCAACTATTCTGCACTATGACTTGTTTATTGTTTACTGAAACTACTACACTGCAATTGACGCTGATGGAGTACTTCATTGACACTGCAACTGATACTGCAATTGACACAGGTTCAGAGTAGTGGACCTGCAGCCAACAGCAGCAGCAGAGGCAATCAGCAGTCGCCAACAGCAGCAGCTGCAGCAGCAGGTCCGCGTGGTCGTCTCGCCGCCGGGGAAGATCCGCCTGGTCGAGGTGGTCGCCTTGGAGGAGCAGCCGCAGCTGGGCGGCGGGGCAGCTCGCCTCCGTTCGGGCGGCGCAGTTTCGCAGCGGCGGAGCAACCGCAGGTGGGCCTTGGTCGCCCGCTGTTTTGCCAATCTCAGTTCAAATCGCAATGTACGCCGGCCGAATCCTTCCTCCACCCCTCTCCTTTGCTGTGTTTTTATTTCCTCCACGCTCTGTTTCCGCCGCCCTGCACCTGCACTCCTGCACGCTCTCTCATGTCGCCCGGTCACTCCTGCTGCTGGTGCCGCTTGCTCCCCTTCGCCAGTGCGCGGAAGCCGCAACCCCTGCCTGCCTGCCTGCCTGCTCGCTCGCTCGCCGTCGATGGGGCTGCGTGCCTATCGTCGCCGGACCTCTCCTCTCGCACAACCCAACCACCACGGCACCTCTCCCGCGACCACCCCGGCGCGCTCCCTCACCCGTTCTTCTTTCTCCCCTCGTTCTGCCTCTCGTCCCGCGATGAACGCATCCAGGAAGGGTTTCCCCCGCGGGCACCTTACCGGCCGGACACTGCCGTTCGCTGTCAAAGTCTAACCAGCTGCAACCGCCGGCCTTGACCACGCCGCCTCCCCGTCACAGTGTCGCCTCCCCTGGTCGGCTGCAGCGGCATCCCGTCACAACGCCGCCTCCCCTGACCAGCCGCACCCTACCAAGACCGCACCGCCGTCCAGTTCCAGTTGTGTCCCAGCCGCCGGCCTTCCCCGAGCAGCCGCATCCACCTGCGGTGGTTTCCTCCTACCCACAATTTTTTTTTCTCTGTTCGTGTGCTGCTCTCTGACGATGCTGTGCGGTTGCTGTTGATTCTTCTTTAAGAAGTGAGTTGTTTCCCTAAAAAATATGTCTCCAGCAGATGAAGTCGTTTGTAGCTAAGATTTTTAGAAGAACCGAGCTACAATAGGCAACCACAAACCACAGGGAAGGATGTTTCAAGAAAATAAACTGATTGTAGCCGCCCAAGCCCAACTGAGATTTGTTATTTTCTTTTTCCAAATTCCTGGGGAATAGCACGATTGTAAACTTCAGAGATACAGTTACATACTAAATTATGAGCTGTTTCTCACATAGCTAATACGCCGCAGATTTAGTGAATTTAGACAGTTCAATGCAACAGTCTAAAATTATTGACTTCATACCTATTCTTAAATTTTTGATCTTGGCTTCCTTTTGAGGAAAATATTTTAGCAGCGTCTTATTTCTCACAGAGCTCTCTTCTGGATGTGCTGCATTCTACTCCGACACACAGGCACTCAACTTGTTGCATAGCTCAAAGTTTGGTTTCTTCACGGTACGTGCTAGAAAGGTACTAGTAGTGAACTAAAACATCTTATATTAGTTAGGGAAGTAGATTCTTGCTACGGGCCTCTTCAGATATCATGGCAAAGCGACCGAACAGACCTCACACGCAACAAACAAGGGAGCCAATGTGCACTCGAACAACCTCACATACTCAAATTCTTTTCCCTCTCTATCGAAACTCACTTGCGCTTGGCATAGTAGAAGCCAAAAGGGAAATGCATGAAACCAACGGCAGGCAAATAAAACAGAGAAAAATATATACTTATCATCTCTCAACTTTTAGCAAAGTCTAGGTTGGGTCCGTCAACTTCAAAACCGGACAACTTGTATTCTTGAAACGGACAAGTTTTGTCCCTTGGTCCAACCAAAGCTGTTTTTGCGCTGACTCGGGACTGGTTCTAGTTCATGTAGCAATCTATTTCTTCCATTTGATTTATCTCTAATCTAGGCATTCTATCAAGCATTTGGCGTGCAAGGTCTGGAGCTGCTGCGATGGTGAGCTCTTGGAGGAACAGGACCAGGAGCGAGTCGATGCTGCCGTCCATGGCCACGTTGACCAGTGACGCCATCACCGCCGTACCAGATTCATCGCCGGAGGACTTCATGGGGAAGACCCGGAGCAGGCACATTCGAGGAGCGGCGGCGGTCAAACGCGTCCTCGCGACGCTCGTACTGAAGCCAGAGGACGAGGCGACGCAGCGGTGCAGGTCGCCGGCCGGCGTCGAAGCGCGTTGAAACCCGCACCATGCTCGCCGCAAAACACGGACGGTGCAGTGCGCGTCTGGGGCTCTAGGCTGAGCATGCTCAATCAACAAGTTCCTCTGCCTGCGCGCGCTCCTGGAGCGGGGGACAATGCCTTAGTGGTGTAGGCTAAACTAGCTAAGACACGAAACACTTCCTCCTGCCGCACATCATCCGCGTCTTCCAGGGCAGGCGCATCTGAACCCGGACACGGAGCACTGCAAACTTCGGCATCCCCGACGCAGAGCGCCGATGCGCAAAGCCACTGTGCACTACAAGAAATATGTCAACTTGTGACCACCACTATTGGTCACTGAAAGGTCACAAATTTCCATTTACGACCTTTTTTTGACCAAAAACAGAAGGTCAAAAGCTGGCAGTCGTAAACTGACTATAGCGACCTTTAACAAAAGGTCGTTGATCCTATGACCTTCTGTTTTGGTCGCTAGCTCTCTCCCCAGACCATGTCGGATCCGACGTGGCAATCTGACGTGGCAAAATTGCGACGAATTGAAAAGGTCACTGACAAGATTCAGCCCGGTCCGATTCAGTGTTTTACATGGGCCGAGCCCATTAATTCAGCCTTTTTATATTTTTTTTCCTATTAATTTTAGTCAGCCACATGGGCCAGGCCCAACACTTCAGCCTTTTTATCTTTTTTTCTGCCAAATTATGTTTAACCAAATGAGTCCAGCCCAATGTTTTTCAGGCTTT